GGTAAATTGTTTTCTATTCCAAACGTTCGCAAAGCTTCCTGATTGGTAGCGGAAGTTGGTTATCAATTACACATAAAGCCCAAAATCGTATGGGCGAGTTTGTGTATCTCACGGAGGAATACAATACAACGCCGAATTTAACAACAAAATTAAACGGGAGTAACCTTTGCTAGAAATTTTAATCTTGAAACCTCTTCCACGATTAAATGGACCGCAATCTTTACGGATATTAATATGTATGCGAGTATTTATGCTCTCATTGATTTTCTTAACTGCACAATCAAAATCTTTCGGTGCAGGTAAATTATTCGAAATCAATTGTTCGAAATCGGTTATTCAAAAATCAATTCTTCGAAAATCTGTTGTTCGAAAATCAATTATTCGAATTCGTATTTTTACCCAATTTAACCATTGAGTGAATTAACTTTGACGAGATGCTATTAGTTTCCCTTTATCGTCTTGTATAATAAAAAACTTTATTTTCTAGCAGAACCCATATAAATCACTGTAAAGCTTTTGACAATTCTGAATTTAATTTAAACGTCAAAAATAGCAAGGTTCAGTTCTGTCGTCAAGGTCGTTCCCATAGAAACATCATTGATGTATGTTTTGAATGTCATTTTATATCGTGACCGCGTCCCATTTGAAATAAAAATGACAGCTGTCGTTACAATTTTGATTCACAAACTACAAACTTTTTAAGTGATTCTCAAGTGAAATCATTCTTTTTCAGACTACTAGGTACATCTTCCGGCTGTTGTGATAACAGGGGTGTCGAACAAATATCTTCGCAACAGCATCTAATGTGCACCTACGTCCTCAAAACAACACATCTTTTTCAGCCATTGTCGCAGCTTCTGTTATCCTAAATAAGACCAGACAATAATTTTCCCAGCTATTGATGGATTAGTCGTCAACGAATACGTTTTAATTACTGGTAAAATAGTCGGCGCAAAAAATATTTTTTTATATAGTGATGAAATTATCGGACTTTTTTTAACGAAAAATCGTATGGAAAGTGGTACTTTTTTCACGATTTTTACTATGCGTTTCCATGAGTTTAGTCCTGTCTATGACAATAGCATCCATTCGCCCTCATTAATCAAACTGCAAATTCATGAAAAAAGTATCACTTTCAAAACTAGTTGTACAAATAACTATTGTCCATAAATTCGTTAAAGAGAACGGCGGGACAACAATCAACGACACTTTTGTACCAGTAAATTGATTCTACCCTCAAAGCGCATAGTATTATCCAACGTACCGCCATGTATACCACATTACCTGATTGAGGAAGTACTGAAAAACCATTTTTGAAAATTGCTTCCTCCATTGTCTTTTATAGAGGTGTGGGAATAGTATTAGATGGATATACGCAAATCTTTATAATGGCAGAAGATTCAATTACGCCCCCCTCTTCAGTACGTAGTTAAAATTATTCCAATTAAACTTGCGAAATTATAGACAATAGACACGTTTTATCAAATGCGCATATTTCAGTCTACGTGTCAAAAAGTTTATATTATTTATTAAAATTTTTTATTTTAAAGTATAATCGTAGGGGTTGTTTACTTCTGGAAAATCAATATTGACAGATCCCTTTGCAACCGATTTAAAGTCGTTTTCATCGAAAGGGGTGCTCGCCTTATATATTATTATGAAATGTTTATTATAATTAGACGATCTCTAATTAAATATTCCAAACTGGAATAGCAGGTGACCTTAAGTCACGATCCGATTATTCAAAGAGAATTATTACGTATTTTCAAATTAATTAATTTTGAATTGTGATGTATGTATGTAACTACGCAACAGTTTTTCTCCTAAACACTCATACATTGGTAGGTTTAAAAGAGCCGTCGGATTTTTATACGCAATACACAACACTCAATGTAGGATTCCAATTGATTATAATTTATAATTATAATGTTGCGTATTTTTAATAGCCTTAACCCGTAAAATTTTATAGCGAGGGGTCCTAACCCTTCAACCTCTGCCCCGAATTCACTATAATTCATTACAGAGTGTCCCAACTAAACCTTTGAGTTTTCGAAGAATGCTCCACCACTTCAAATTATTTTGAAGGAGGAGCAAAAAAGGTTATTTTCAATGCTTACATTTCATCCCTTTAATTGGAACGACTTCCCCATTTCTGTAAAGCTGATTACATTTTTTACGTAGACATAATTTCAATTTTCAATTCTACTTACTGCTTTCGTTCAATTAAAAATAGGATTGTTGTTTATTATTCTAACAATCAGGATTAACTATCTGTCGCGAATCGGAGGGACTTGTTCCGTATGTTTTAATCGAAGAAGGAAAATGAAGAATATGAGCTGAAAGATTAAAAAATGATGTGAGATTTACTCTCCGTACAGTACAAAATTGTGGTATTTGGGCATATTGGTAAATTTTTCAGGAGCTGGTTTGGTCGGGGATGCATACTTTCAATAAATATTTCGGATTAAATGCAATTTGGATAAAAAAGCAATTTTTCGCTTGTAACCGCTGCATTTGTGTAACAAAGCGTTGGCGTTTCTCGTGCACTTTTTATGATCATTATGTACTAATTTTAGCGCAGTTTCAGTACCGAGCACATCCATGCTGTAATTTCCCATATGTTACTGTTTGTGTTTAATATATAAAAATTTAAATTAAATTCTTTATCCTATCCATATACAGGCAAATAGTTTAGAAACTCCCCCCCCCCCCCCCGACTCAAAATTAGATTTTTCGGCCAATGCGCATTTTTATCAATATTGGCTTTAACATTTAACTACAAAAAACAAAAGCTCACCTAACACTCTGCCCACTGTAAAATAAAACCAAAGTAAATAATATACGAGATATCACAGTTGGGTGGGATAGACATAACATAAACTTCAATTAGGTGTAAGTACGTTATAATAAATTAAAAGCTATATCCTGGAAAAATGGATTGCCAATGAAAAACGTTGAAAAGCTAATTACTATTCTAATCAACAGACATTTAGTCGTGGTATTGAATTTCGAGTTTTATACATTTTTGTGAACATAATAAACCGAATATTTCATTATGATTGCACAAATTAAACCAAAAATATTACGTTTGGAAATTATTTTCATTTTACATTGTCGGTTAGTTAAATTGCGCGCGTTGTCAATTGTCGAGTATTTTTGTACGAATAGTTTGGAGTGGAATTCTACGCGTCAGCCATTTTTCAAAGATACGGTCTACAAATCCTGGACATCTTCAGAACAAGTCGCAAATATAATAGGTCCTGATTTTTATTATTTTTTGTGAAAACTAAAACGGTTCAGGAAAGGTGCTTTCAGGACTTTAAATTTAGTAGCTGGGCACCCTCGATTAAGAGTTCTGGGCTGATTAGTTAGCTGTTGCTTTAAGAAAATCTGTTTTTAGACTTCCCCCTCGTTTTCCTAGCTGCAAGTTGCAGTAACATATATTGAAAACCGTTAGGTTACGTAAAAAATATTTCAGTCCTCACTAGGAGTACCATAGGACTGAAAGCAAACGTTGTGGAGAGACTAATATAATGCTATACTAAAGGTGAAAGTAAAACTTCTTAATCGTTCAATTTTTAGTCATTAATAAAGAAACTATTTTTTAACAACATAACGTGTAAAAAGCAACAGGATTTTAAAATATTTAACACCATTCTGTTATTTAACTGGGAATGGATGCACTAATGTAGGCTAGTCCGTCGCGTTAAGGTGGATAAATTTGTCAAAACAGTCGCCCTCGAATTGGCGATTCTTCGCCTTTCCCTTAAACCCTATGAACCCCCTATCTTTGTGTGTCATTCTTAGAAGCAATAAACTTGTAGTACCTAAAATTGTCCTTAATATAAGACAATCACCAAAAAACCTCACTGAAACGTACTCGTTTCGACAGTAAACCTGTCACCATCATCGAATACCTAAAGAAAAAGGCACTTGATTTGGCCTTCGGCTAGTTCTAAGGTAATTCTTCTTTTTCCAGTTCCTTGAAAATTGTAATTTTAAAATTGGTACCAAAATTTCGACAACGTTTTGAATGTATCAATGAAAATTCAAGTGATGCAAGAATTCCAATTTACATGTTATTTTGTGTAAGATTACTGTTATAAATTTTAAATGTATGACACTGAAAAGTGGCCCTCCTTTCTGGATTAATTGGAACTGAATACTAAACCTAAATACGAAATACAACACATTTTTATATGCACAATTACTCACTTTACTATACTTATTGGGTTTCACTGCGATAATCGGAATGGTTTTTTATATTAATTACGAAAATATAGAGTTCAGCACCTCCTCGTAAAATCCGAAAGTTAATGGTTACGTAGATTGTTTAACAATAAGTCTTTGTAACAATGAGATTATCATGGCGTCTCAATAAAACATTCTTTGCGTATGCGACAGTAGGTACATTTTTTTAATTATTCGTCACTTGCTATAAATTTATCGATAGCTCGTACTTATCTTATGCCAATATAAACTGTCTATTGAATTGGTGTAAATTTTAGCATTCTCATTCGTAATTGGGGCGTTCTATCCCCGAAGATTTCTTTTATAGAGAAAATCACAATACGAATTCGAACTTTCTCAGCTGGACCCTAAAGTCTCTCCCGAAAAATGTACATTCTTTTCGCTATTGAGACGCGAATTTTTCCAAGCTCTCCAAAACCAATGGCGGATTATCAATTAAAATGGCGATGTCTAAATTTGCATTGGTTAGTGTCTGTTTTACTACCAAGGACAGATGGCTTTAAAGGTCTTTAATCATTCCTATGTCTATTCGAAACATGCATGTTACCAGTTTTCACTGTACGAATTTATCCCATGATGAGCTAAGAAATGCAATACTATCTCCATTAAAAAAGACTAAATTTGCAACCAATCACCGCAATCCTGACGCCAAAACTAATTAAAGAACAAAAACCCATTGAAAATTGGATAAATGTAGAAATGATATTTTCCATTAAGAACGGCGAGGAAGCGTGTGGCAGCTATCGTCAGGTTGGTGCCACAGACAATTGCGAGACTCTGGACAACGAGAACGGGACTTCCCGTACAATTAGAATGGGCAGTGAAAAGGAGGAAACTCATCCCCGGTTCCTGCTCATAGAAAGGAATGATGGTGATTTTAGTAAGATAAGTCCATTTCTTATAGCTAAGGCGGTATTTGGATTAATAGGACAAGTGGATGAAATTAAAAAACTAAAAGGAATGCTATTTATTAAAACGTCGACAAATAAGCAATCTAAGCGATTGTTGCAGACTAAAAGATTGTGTAATTTTGATGTTAAAGTCAGTCCACATGAAACTTTGAATGTATCAAAAGGCGTCATCTATCGCGAAGACTTTTTGAACTGCACCGAACAAGACATTTTGGAAGGGCTAAAGGCGGAAAAAGTGATTGATGTTAAACGTATTAAAACTAAGATTTCAGGGAATTTGGTAGATACCGCCAACCATATCCTCACATTTAATTCGATTGATCTTCCAAAAACCATAAATGCGGCTAAGGCTAAGGGTAAGACCTTACATACCAGCTCCAATGCGTTGTTTCCGTTGCCAAAAATTTGGGCATACAGTCCAAAGATGTCAAGCTCCTCAAATATGTATCTGCGGAAAACCTTTACACGAAGGGAATCCTTGCGAGGTACCAGTTACGTGCCCAAACTGTAACGGAAACCATCCTGCAAATTCACGATCTTGTGAGACCTACAAACATGAACTAAAGATACAAGAGATTAAAGTAACAAGAAAAGTAACTTACCTGGAAGCAAGAAGGTTGGTGGGTACTGCTGTTGTTTCAGGCACCAGCTTTGCTAATGTTGCAGCACAAGCTCCAGCTCTGACGCAAACTGCACCAGCTCCAGCCTTGGCACAAACAAGGTTTATACCTGAAATTAAAAAAATGATAAACGAGAAAATGAAAGAGCTTACCTCTGTGATGCTAAACTACATAAAAAAAACTTATACCGCAAAGTGTGGAGACTCCCGTACAAAGCTTTATCGTTCCTTCTAGTGGGGTTAGCGCCAATCTGGAGCAAACGCCCATGGAGGACGAATCGAGAGGCGCTAAAAGAAAGACGTTACTGATGCGAAACCCATCTACTGACTCCAGCATCACGTCCGTAGATGAAAAAGCGCTAGAAGAGGCTAAACAGCCGAAGAAGAAAAAAGGATGGCCTAAGGGCAAACCAAGGGGCACTAGTGCCTCACGAGAAGGAAATTCTCAGATTAATAGCCTGTGATAATTTGTACTCTGTGATATTCATGTCTGTATAGTCCGCATATACAACTATTTGTTAAACATTTTATTTACTTGTTCGTTAGCATTTTTAATGTGGTATATGTCCTTAAGTTTTTTAATTATTCGTTACTTTCGAGTCCAAAAACTGTATTATCCAATGGAACTGTAGAGGTCTTGTGATACGATATACAGACTTAAAAATGCTCCTCCAGGAATTGAATCCCATATGTTTATGTATTCAGGAAACCCATCTGAAACTTAACAGTCTTATTATCTCCGAGGATACGACATTATCCGTAACGACTTTGTCAATCGGCAAAGAGCAGCAGGTGGTGTGGCTATCATTGTCAGAAACGGTGTGTATTATGAACGGATAATATTAAACACTCATCTCCAGGCAGTTGCCGTTAATATAAGGACACCAATGAAAATGACTATATGCAACATCTACTTACCAGATGACAACTGGGTGATTGCAGACCTTGAAAACATTGTGGAGCAACTCCCAACACCATTTTTAGTGGCGGGAGATTTTAACTGTCACAATACATTATGGGGCTCCTCAAAAATTGACGCTAAAGGACGCAGTATTGAAGATTGGCTAACTAGGAACAATGTTGTCCTCCTCAACAACAGATCCCCAACGTACCACAATGCTCGGTCTAACACGTTTGACGTACTTGACTTAACTTTTGTCTCGCCAATACTAGCACCGCGGCTCACATGGAAAGTCATTAATGACTTAACATAACAGCGACCACTTTCCGATAAACATCGAGACGGACACCACCGTTACAGATAGGGCTGTAACTAGAAGATACATCTGTGCAAATGCTAATTGGCCACTGTTCCGTCAAAGCCTTACAATACCTGCTAACATTTGTGTCGAATCAATAACTAAAGCCATATTGGGAGCCGCAGAAATCAGCATACCAAAATCTGGAAATAAGCCGGTAAAAAGACCCCTACCGTGGTGGAATGAGGAGGTTAAGGCCGCCATCAATAATAAGAAGGCAGCGTTCAGAAGGTATCAAAGGCACACAACTATTGAAAACCATATTGCTTTTAAAAGAGCTAGAGCTATTAGTAGGCGCATTGTACTCGAAAACAAGCGAAAAAGCTGGGCTCAATATACGACAACCATTTCGGGAAGCTCTAATACCAACAATGTCTGGAGAAAGATTAATGCAATTAATGGGAGATTCAAAAGTCAAATAATTTATTCCATACAAACCCACCACAATGTAATCACGGAAGATCTGACCGAAATTGCAAACACGTTGGCTGGGCAGTTTGCAAATACTAGCAGGTCTGCAAATTATCCACCCAATTTCGCTGCAACTAAAAATGAGAGAGAAACGGAAATTCCTTTTGATACAATCCTAGAACTTGAATATAATGTGCCCTTCACCATCGAAGAACTAGAATTTGCTATAAAGAGTAGTAAAAAAAACAGCTCCAGGTCATGATTTGATAACAAACGATATGCTACTCAATCTCACACCTGAAATGAAAACGAGTTTATTACAACTATATAATAAACTATGGGATGATAACACTTACCCAAATGAGTGGAAGGAAGCAGTAGTTATACCTGTATTAAAACCTGGGAAAAACCCACTGAGTCCAGCTAGCTACCGCCCAATTAGTCTCACATGTTGTATGGGGAAGATAATGGAGAGAATGGTAAATAACAGACTGCAGTGGCACCTTGAAAAACACAATCTCCTAGCGACATACCAAGCGGGCTTCAGAAAACATAGATCGACTACTGACAACTTGGTCCTCTTAGAACACGCTATCCAGGAATCCTTTCGTAAAAGAAACCACCTGGTGGCTGTTTTCTTTGATATTAAGGGAGCATATGATATGTGCTGGAGACATGGTATAATGGAAAAGATTTTTCATTTTAATCTGAGAGGTAAATTGCCGTTATTAATAAAGTCCTTTCTCAGTAACAGGCGCTTCCGAGTAAGAGTTGGGGATAAGTTATCTGATACAAACATCCTTGAAAACGGAGTTCCCCAAGGATCTACCCTAAGCTGTACGCTATTTATAATAGCAATTAACGATATTGCCATGAACATCCCTAATGAAATCTGTAAATGTATATACGTTGACGATATCGCCATATATTACTCTGCCAAAACTGTAGGACAAATAAACCGTATCCTGCAACCTGCGATTAACCAAATAGCTAAAAATGGTAACAATATTGGCTTAACATTCGCTACAGAAAAAACTCAGTGCGTTCATTTCTGTAGACTACGAAAGCCGCACTATGACCCATTACTGTTTTTGTCAGATGAACCTATAGGATGTACGGAAACCGCAAAATTCTTAGGCCTTACGTTTGATCGTACCCTCACCTGGAGACCTCACATAGATAGACTAAAAAACAAATGTTTACAAAGCTTAAATATCATTAAAGTACTTGCGCATACCAGGTGGGGTTCGGAAACAAAATGGCTATTAAGAATATACAGGGCTTTGGTATTATCTCAAATTGATTACGGCTGCGTAGTATATTCATCGGCTCGTAAAACTCTGATAGCAACCTTAAATATCATACATAACGCCGCCATACGATACTGTCTCGGAGCCTTCCCCACCAGTCCAGTAAACAGCTTATACTGTGAGGCGGGAATTCCACCACTAGAAACTAGAAGGACACAATTAACTACGAGTTATATGATTAAAGTTCTATCACTACCACCTCACCCTAACAACAGTATTTTCCAGGCAGACATGCAGGCGTATAGATCACTACCTACCATTACCCGGCCTGCGTGTATAAGATTTCAGGAACATCTGGGAGAGATTGGCATGGCCCTTCCAACACTACTGGATAATAGGATGTCGGACGCTGCGCCATGGATGATACCTGGAATAAAAATAAGAAGGGATTTAGCGACTTATAAGAAGGAAACTACACAACATCATACTTACCTGCAAAAGTTCGAGAAAATATGCAGCGAATATCCCCTACACCAACTTGTATATACAGATGGATCTAAAACTGCAAACGGAGTTGGTAGCGCTATAGTCACTGAGGGAATAGCACATCAATGGAGTTTAGACCCTAAGTCGTCGGCTGCCTTTGCTGAGCAATACGCCATGCTGCAAGCGATGCTGTACTGTTACATGAGTGATACCAGAATGTTCTTAATCGTGACAGACTGTAATAATGTACTAAATGGTATATCTCAAATATATACCCTTCAGATCCGATGAACATAAAATGCCAATCCGCATTAAATGTAGTCCGCGATCAAGGGAAGTCAATTAAATTTGTATGGGTCCCCAGCCATGTTGGCATTCCAGGAAATGAGGAGGCAGATCAAGCTGCATACCAAGCTACATTTAATGAGCAAATTGATGTCGAATTTGTGGTGGCAAGTGATATCACGAAATATCTGAAAGAGAGGTACACTATGGAATGGCAGGAAAAATGGGCACGCATCAATACACATCTTTCCCAAATAAAACCTGCAGTAAAGGATTTATTTACATTGCAACATCCATCAAGGGAGGAGAATGTAAAGATGCACCGCCTGAGGATAGGCACACCAAAATAACTCACCAACATCTACTTAAAGGTAGACCTCCGCGGTACTGTAACCACTGCAACATAGCCCTTACAGTGATGCACATAACATTGTGCCAAACTACGTTACAAACTTCAACTCAAAAAACGCAAATAATACCCTGGCGTTCTTAAAAGGAATTGGTATATATATATACATATAGCACTGTGTATATGTGTATCTGTACTCTATAGCGAGCAATAAAGGGGATATGACCTTGGCAGTCGAACCCTATTAAAAAAAATAAAATAAAATAAAATAAAGATATTAAGCCATTATTGTTTGCCTTACCGGAACTACTGGTGGTTCTTATGCAAGTTGCTTACTATCGTTATGCACTAATCCGAGTGTTGGTGATGTGTGCATTTAACGGACCTTTACATTTGAGATGAATTTAGATGACTGTGTACTTATCAATAAAGGTAGTCATTACCTGGCTTCTGTAGTTAGCCATCTTTGGCCTTTGCACAAGTAATCTCTTATCAACTGATAGCTATTTGAATATCGCAAGCATACGAACATTGGCACCATTTCACCGATCGTTTAATCCTACGCGCTGAAATACAATAACACTATCTGAATAATTTATAAAATGGCTTCGCATTTGAATACAAAACTCTCCCATAGCATTGACGTTTAGTGTCGACTCTGCTTTGTTTGTTTGTGTGCAGTTTTTATATTTTCAATAACTTCAAGCGATGAAAACATGAACTTTTAATCGATGAACCAATCGCGTAGAGGTTGATCACTTCACTAATGATATACATACGTTAAAAAGGAGTTCAGTTTTTCACAACACGTGAAAAATGAGGGTCTTTTACACTCCATATATTACATGCATTGACCCTTTTCCACCTAATATATAAAACGTGAGTATTTACTGAGAACGCATACATCTGCTTTTGAAAGCCTTACGAACAGAAACGCACTGTTCCTGTGTATAATTGAAGATTTTTGTAAGCGTGTCCTTAAATCGCGTTTCTACAGTTATTGTAGCAGTATCTAATTATCAGGAACGTTTTGAAGAATATTCCCTTGAGCACATCAAAAGATCTAAAGAAATGGGGTATATAAAAATCGCTTAGGCACACCATAACGAAAGAAAACTTCCAATAACCTCTAGCAACGTAACAATATTTTCATAGTTTCGCAACTTTTATCGCCGGCCGAACTAATTTTCGATCTACGTAATTCGAGGCTTACATTTTCGTTTAGAAAGAAGCGAACGGCACAGAAAACCGGAAAATCACATTATAAATAGTTTACTTGGTAAGGATCATAATCGCCGGTGTCCCAGTTAAGCTCCTTTATTAACATGGAGCGATTCTCTTAGCCGTGTCGGAGCTTTATTAAATTTCTCTTTATTCAATAGCGGACTTTGGTGGCATTAAAAAGAATACAGCAGCGTACACGGTTCAATTCAATTTTAGTTTAGTTCAATGGCGAAAGGGTGCACAAATAGAAGACCGGATCAATCATAAATTGGCTTAAATTTGAATATCGACTAAATCGGCTTTGGCAAAAAAAAATTGGAGACGAGAGTGCTCACTTCCGCATTTTTTTTATTATATTACCCGAATTATTCAGAAGGTCGGCCATTTTTGTCTTATACAGTGGACCATCTCGATTCGAGGGCTAATGGGGATGTAATTTAAATTTTGATAGCCACCTAATTATAAATGTCATAGTTTTGAGCCGGCGCCGTAAAGTTTCAGCTCATTGAGGGGGCGTCGGTTGGCGTCGCAGTTTCAGTGCCGCTTCCGCAGAGTCAGCTGAAATTCTTCTAAGCTCGCGATCCTAAAACAGTAATCTACATTCTTAAGATGCTTTGAATTAAAAAAAAACGTGATCACCGAGTGATTTAGGTGGAAAACATTTGGCTTAGCTCCATTTATTTATACACTTAGACGAGCGGTGAGTGTGTTGTTATTTCGTTAATTCAAAACGTAATTCATCAAAGTTTTAATAACATCGGCGGTAGTAGGGCACCCTCCCAACATCGAGGGTAGGTTAGTTACATTGAAGCTAATGCAATTTATCACGAATAGGTAGGTACTTGATACGGTAGACAGTAAATGGACGCAGCATCTCAGTAAAATGCTACGAAACGATAAAGAAAGTGTTTTCTTTTACACGTCCTTAGCACTTTTTGTTGGAGCCGACGTTGTCAAAACCACTTTTAGTGTAAGCGAACCACCGGCCGAGCTTTTTACGTTATTTTTTTAACACCCAAAGTAAGACGTATACTGTGATGTCCAACGTGATCAGTCTGTGAAAGTGTAGCAATAAATCAATTCGACTAAAACGCCGGGAAAGAATTTAATTACCCAGTTATCGAGAGGCACTACAGAATTTTGAACGCCAAGGCGTTGCTAACACGCACTTTAAATAAAAGTGTGCGCACCCCTAATTGCCAATTAGAATATTTACACGTTTTAATAACGGTTTAAAAGTACGAAAAGCTTTTGCTGCTAAATTTGCGGCTAGAAAGGATCATTACTCAAGGGATTACAAGGGTTAATCCTGATAGCTCCCTTAGTGGTACTGCACTTATTAATATATTGCTAAAAATTGACTGCAGATACACTGCATTTTCACTAGTTCGAGCTTTAAAGAATGTAATGCTTTTACTTGAGACTTAATCTAGTTTTACATTAATCTGCATAAATTTTATTCATGTGCCAGCTGCATAAATCCCCTCGAACACGTTTAAGTAGAGAATTAGGCTAAATGAATATTTATTTTCGAGTGAAAAATTTCGCAACGTGATCTTAAATCTGATGAGAACGCTTTTTATTTATTGTACGATTTAACGAACCTCTTAAATGTTTCTACTCTTGATCTTCAAGAAGAATGGACGTACAATGGGGCCGCCAATGCGTTGGTATTATACTACAGTACAATTAACGTAGGAATATTACCACTATATGGTTACATAGCAAATTGCTAACACTCCGCCTACTATAAAATAAAGGCAATAAAATAAAAAATAAATTAAAAAAAATATCTATTCCTCTGTATGGATATTTTATAAGTTGTTTTTAAGTGTCAACACAAATTTCAATTACCTACTTAGCCGGATTTCTTTTAATCTGTGGTTTATTAACTGTTGCTCGTATGTATATTGCTGGTGGTATGCGGTCACTACGCCACCCGCAGAACACCTGTTCAGCGAGCTCAAAAGAAATGAAAATTGAAAATTTATCTTCGTGCACATCCAGCATCTACGAGAAGAAAAATCCTAAGACGACTTAATATTTCTCAATTTGAGAGACACGATGGCATCGATAAACTTCCGGAAGTTCCAAGGAATTTATTACACAATTTTTGATTAGCACCTGAAATAAATCTTGGCCCGAATTAAAAGAAATCTGACATGAAAACTGGGTCGCACAACGGATTCGAATCAACACACAATTAATCGATTGAAAATAACAAAAGTTTATTCTGAAACGCGATGAAAGAAATTAAAACAGCTTCTGGACTGGACTTTATAACATAGAATTAGATGACAAACAAGACCAGTCTGATGAATAAGATGAACAAATTTTTGGGTGGCTGTTCGGAAGGTAGAAACTTTTAATAAGAAGAGAACTTCAACAAAAGGCTGCTTGATTTGCAACTAGACAAACTTTTTCCGTAAAAGAACAACACGTGTTACACTGCTTTGGTGAAGTTGTTTCTGCACAGATTTATTATAAAAAAATGAGGAACTGCGTCTTCCATAACAAATACTTCTGGCTGCCCGTAATTTAGCGTATAAACATATACACGCTTTTTTTACCGTCACGAAAACTGGTAGCAGTAGCATCCAGAGCTTACTCGTCCCCAGTATACAACAAAACCATAAAATAAACACATTCTTGGTGAATTTTTACATAAATCGCCAATTCCGTATTTAATTATTAGCACTAGAATACGTGGGTTATTTAAATTTCGCCTTATAATAAAACTCTATCGCAAATGACCAGATATAACCTTACTTTTAACTCATTATCTAAATTGAATAATTTACAAAAATTACGCATCTAAGAAATTTCTCAGAGGGACCACAAACACTAAAATACAAATTTTAATAAAACAAACCAACTCTGTACTTTTTCCTAAATAACCCACCGGATTTACTTAGTAAATTGAAGTACTCTAACATACAGGACGTTCGGTTCTTATTTTTGGTGTTTGGACTTAAACAACGTGTACATGACGTTGTTTATAGAACAATGTATCTGCAACTAAATCTAAAACCCTTTCTACAGTGTTTCCAATGTTACAATGAGCCCCCTGAACTGAATGCCTTAAGTGGAAACCCAATCATCACGCTATTGGCCGAGAAGTATGGGGAGAATTTGGAAAAGTTAAAAAATAATGGACCCCCAGGTCAGCTTTGTATCCCCTACTGCTCTACTTCCATGCGTTTGGACACTTCTCGTAAAGATTTGGCCATCCATCTTTCCTCTGTCAGCTCGTCGATAAAAATTCACGATGAAAAGGTTGCAGTTGACCCAACATTGTTGTTTCAGCGTATGTGTATTAAGCAAACAATCAGATGAGGATTTGAAAAATTGAGTTGACCCCATTTC